GAAGCATTGGGAAATTTTGTTTCCTGGAAGAGATACTAGTAGTGGCCATAAAACCCTAACAAAGAAGAAAAGAAAGGCTGTTTTGAAATCTTGACACTGTTACGCTGCTCTGATTTCTTAGCAGTCAGCCCTTTGCTGATACTGGTAGGGTTGGGTAAAACAGCACTGAGACCGACAGACACGACCTCTGCCCTTCAAATCAGAGCAGCAAAACCACTCGAGTTTCTTCACAAATCAAACGTGACTCCAACGCAAATCTGAAGCAGGTGATCCCACCAAACCAGAGCCACGTGTAGAGCTAAGGAACTTCAGTAACAGGAGGGGAAGGGGTTTACTTGGTGCTTCTTGTACCGCGGTACTGCCACCACAGGGATGTCCTGGGGGAAGAGGGGACAAGCAATGAGTCCCCATCACCATGTCTGAGTGTGGTGCTCTGGGAGGAGAGGAGATGACAGGAGAAGAGAGGAGAGGAAAGGAATCTGCTCTCGCCATGCAGGACCTCCCAGCCTTGATGCGAAGCACTCTTTGGGCTCTCATGCTGGTGGTGGGTCACGGGGGTGCTTACTGACATCAGCATGTGTTGATCCATAAGCAGCAAAGATCTGAGAAGTGCCAGAAATTCCCATTTCCACCACCAAGAAGGGCTGATTTGCTGTTGTGTTGAATATAACGAAAACGAGGTGCATTAGGATTTACCTTCTGAGTCTGGAGGTGTCCCACTTATTCCCCTGCCACTGTGGGAGACAAAACCTTTGCTGAGCATTTAGCAGGCGTTGGTTCCTTCAGGGGTTCGATGAAGATTAGAGTAATAATCATACTTTGAGTGCTTCCATGGATTTTGAAGAGAGTGAGCCCCTTTCTCTAACTGCATGGCCTATTTCAGCACCTGGGTCTACCGGCTTCCATAGCCTCATTACCTACATGATTGGTCTGTATCGTTTGCTTAGGTTATTCACAAATTTTGTTAACAACTTGACTTTTTCTGGTGGATGAAAATAGAAGTGTATTTGAGTGGCAACCTGCTGTTCCCACCAGGACAAGCTCAGCAGGTTCAGAAGAGCAGCTGAGCAGCCCCGGTGGTATGTCCTCTCCTGCCAGATCTTCCTCTTCATGGTGGCCACTGGCTGCTCCTGCAGCCTCCTGGACATTTTAGTCTGCCATTCCTAGCAGAGCCATTCCTTGTCATCGTGGGCATTTCCTACAGGCTCTTGAGTGAAACTGAGCCCTTTGCCTGCCAGTTTCTGATAATCACATGGCTTTCCTTCCTCCCAGGCTTTAGGAAAACCTAGGGGAGCTCCCATGATAGCCTCCCTTCTTCCCTGTTCCTTCCCATCCTGCTCCCCTACTTAGCCTGGCCAGTAGTCAACTTCTGGTGTGGCTGTGTGAGGTGGTAAGCTCCTTGGGTGAGAAAGGGACAAGCTCTTACTCATTATTCAGCCTTGCAACAGACAATTTTGGTAAAATCCCTTTCACAGTTTCATACCCCAGAGCCTCTTCCCAGTTGTCCTTCCGTGTGTTTTGAACGTGGAGGAGAAGAGACCTCCATCAAGGTGGCCTCGGGGTGACGCTGACTAACAAGTAGGGACCTCCCGAGGTCCAGTGTCCTCATACAGGCACTGCCACAGCTAATACATTAATTGGAGGACAATATCCTACTGTCGAACCAAAATGGTAAGGGTATGCTGATTTTTGAGCAAGGCCAGGGGAGCAGCAGCAGGCTGCACATTGCTGTATTCACTGAATTAACCCCTCACGATGCTGCGGAGCTGGGCTGGCACAACTGCCCCCATGCAAAGCCTGTGAGAAGGGTTTCCAGGCCTTATCTTGTTGGGGACATACTAACTAAAAATCCCATTTGATATTCTCTGGGAAGACGGTCAATTTTTTGTTGCTGTTAATGCCATTTTCTGCCACATCGTGGGACTCATCTTATTTGTGCCTTGTAATTGTGGTGTGCCACGTGGTGCCTTGTTACTTTCATAATCGCTTTTTAACAGATCTGAAGAGCACTCTGCTTAAATGTTGCAAGACAAAAGCAGCTTCGGAGCCGTCAAATCTGCCTGAGATTTTCCTGGGCAGAAACCTGCCTTGGCGAGATCTCCACCAACGTGTACTGATTTTCTCACTGCATGGTCCAAGCGCAGCACGGCCTTGTAACGTGGGGTGATGCTTCAAGTCACACGCTTCTGCGGAGAAGGATTCTTCATTGGATGTGACGCCTGCTCACTCACCTCCTTTGCAGCACTCCCGTTAGTATTAGGGAGGAGGAGGGTGGGAGTTCATGGAGATGTTGGGCTGGAGACAGCTCTGCTGGTGACAAGGTCTAAACAGAGCTTTGGAGATGCCCTTCAGAGACTGGGCTGCCTGCTGCAGCACGGCCTGCTCCCTTGGCAGTACGCTGAAATGTGAGGACACACAGATATCCCAAGTTAAAAATCCTAAAAATCCTAAAAAAAACATTCATCTCTTCATAATCTGGACAGCTGGTAAGGGTGATGTAGAGTCCATCCCTTGACCTTCTCCAAACCACCTCTGAGGCCTTGACGTTTACCTGCCGCTGCCAGGAATCCCATGGCATTGCTTGGCCTCTCTTTGTAGTAACAGCCTAAAAATCTTGTCTTTCTTATACTCAGGAACAAAAACTTCTTCTCTTTCATCTCTCCCCAGAGGGAGAGGAGGTCCTTAGTACAGGCCTGGTTAGATGCATGAAAAGAAGCCTGGCAAATGGCTTAAATTAGAAAGTCTAGTGGCTGTGCCAAGTCCTGCAGTACAAGAGCACCAAGATCGGGAACGCGGCCGTTCACCGGCGTTTGCAAGGCGCTGACATTTCGTCACCGCTCTCCACGAGCACCGGGGCCCACATGGGTACATGGAGCAGTCGTCTGGGGCAGGATGGAAAGCAGGGGGGGAGAGCAGAAGGAGGCCTGCCCGACCTTTCCTAAGGAACGTCACAGCCGTGTTTCTTCAAAAACCTCTGCTCCGATGAGAAGTTATTCCTGATCACAAAATGAAACAAAAAACATACCAAAATGATTATATATATATTACATTTAATTCTTCCTGGGTCCAAACCAGCAGTTTATTATTATTATTATTTTTATTTTTTTAACCTTCATTATAAATAAGCCATGCAGCATCTACATAGCTGAATCCATCACCAGTTTTATCTCTTAGTTGGAAGAACCTGCAGGTCAACTCTGGCCAACTTTGTACTTCAGAGCATTACCATGCTAGACGTGTTAGTTAACAGTTTAAGACTCTTTTTGTCTTACTACACATTATTCATAGCCCAGTGCTTTTCTGCCTTCTTTCAGGCACAGAGATGGCCAGACTTTTAATTTCAGAGGCTGCTGTAGGGCATTGGGGTTTTCTATCCAGAAGATCATGCAGATGAATTGCACGGATGCTCCTTTCCCAGTCTGAAAGATTTTTCCACTGCCAAAGGCTTCCAAGCTCTTCCAGTATTTCCTCCTTGTTATAAGATGCACAACTCTTCCGATATTCTGTAGTTGCTGGAAGCATCACAACTGTCTGCAGCTCTTACTCCATCAAGTATTTGTTGCAGCCTCCTACGTAAGCCCAAGCTCGGCGATGTGGCATGGCTTTCCCTCCAGGTGGGGACTGAGTTTGGCACAACGACGTTGCCCGTTGCCCCAGTATGGTATTTGTGTAGGAAAATATATTTGAATACAGAGGGTCAAGAGACTATTATTACAGCAGGCACTGGAAATAACCAAAATGTCACGTTCCTCTCCAGGACGTGGCCCAAGCCTGACGTCCAGTGGACATCAAAACAGGATTGCTTTCTGCCTTTGTCCATTAGTCTCCAGTAAAAACAACTGTGGGCATGTTTCCACATGTGAACCTTTACCTTGTGCCATTTCCAGACTCGACAGAACATTAAGGGGCTGGCATCAGTTATGTAAGAAAAAGGAAACTCCAATTTTATGTGCAAGTAGAAACTTAAACCAAGCAAACTGGTATTTGTGTTTTATTTGCTCTATTAAAAAGCCTAGGAATACAAAACACTTTTTGCTGAATACAGAAATGACATTTTCTTTTCAGGTGTCTGCAAAAATACAGGTTTATCCGAAAAATAAATAGAAAACCTGCAAAATGCCTTAATTTGTTTTTGCTAAAAAGCTCCCTCATTATAAAAGGATGGGGAAAAAAGGGTGAACTAAAAAAAGGATGAGCTTCCTCTTTATTCCAGGCTTGCTGCTTTAATTCACTGTTGCATATGAAGCAACAAACAGGAATCCTAAGGAATGTAAAAAGTTCCTATGGCTACAAAAGCCGTGATAATACAACAGTCAGCTGAAGTACAATGACACTGACATGAAAGGATTTTCATTTCTAAGAAATACTTGGATAAATTAGAGTTTGGGTACATGTGCGTTCTTCTCTCATCTTAACAACACACGGCGGCACTCATCTTTTGCAGGGCTGCCAGCGACATGGACCAGCTCACCCCAAATGTTCTCCCTCCCTGCAGGGAGACGGAGCTGCGGCAGCACAGGTCACCTGCAGGCTCTGCAGGTGGCTGGAGACTGGGCGGTAACAGGTCCGGGTGAAAGAGGAGACTTTGGAGGAAAAAAAACATGGTAAAAAAAAAAAACATGGTAAAAAAAACAACATTTTTAATACCCACAGTTAATTAAAGTACAAAAATTGCTGCTACCCAGGTTCTTTATCACTGCATCTGTTTCAGATTTATATCCTAAAGGTTCGTTTTTCCACATAGCATAATTCTGGCAGAGCATAAGGTCAGCGCGCTCCCAAATTGCGTACTGCCTACCCCTCCTGCAAGCTTACAGGGATATGCTGATGCTCTGTGCCTCTGAAAGCAAGGCTCGATGTGTACCCAAAGCAAATGTGCAGAGCATGAATATTACAATCAACAGAAAAGCTGCAAAATCTGCCTGCTTTCAAAGTAAAATAAACAGTGAATTTTCAAAATTTCCCGAGGTAAATTCTTTCTGATCAACTAGAACTTTGGCTTCATTTCAGTTTATGCATTTATTTTATATTACAATGCAAAATATGAACTAGACTGTGAATAATAGAAAAGCTTTCTTTTCCAGATGGGAATACCAGAACATTTCCATTGTTGTTGTTGTTGTTTTCTTTCTCAAACATATTTTAGCAAGTACACTTTTATGAAGCAGTTTATCTTCAGCAGAGTTGCACTCTGATAGAAAAGGAGTTTGTTGGTTTTTACAGTAGAAATCATGTAGCCGTGTAATTTTCACTTTTAAGAGGTCTGTAGTTATATTTTTATCTTCCCTTTTTTTCCCCTTTTTTTTTTTTTTTTTACAAAAGTGAAGGTATGTCTGTATAATAATTCCCAGTGGAAGCGTTCACTCATATTAAAAAGAACTAGCTCTGCTTCAGACTAGATTGAATGTTTAAGTTTTCTGCTTTTCATGTATCTGTATACTTATGTTCTGAAATAAGTAACAGTCATGATGGAAGAGAAAGCACAAATGAAATGACAAAGTCAATAAAACCATCACCTCTTTGGAGATGTTGATAAGGGAACGTCCACTCATTATGTCTCACAAAAAAAGAACCGAAGGCATGAAGTGATCAAATGGTTGGAGATGAGAAAAAAAAAAAAAAAAGGAAGTTTTCCCACAGAAAGAATAATTAAACTGAACTAATTTTGAAGAGATGTGGTGGAGTCCAAGGGGATAAGTAAGTTGGAAATGGATTGGGTGAGTACATGGAGGATAGGTTTGATTGTTGGCCATCAAACACTGGTCTGAATGCAACCTCTGGTCAGGAGCTCCCCAAAAACACAGCAGTAGAAGCCGGGAGCACTTGTCAGTGAGAATTGACTTTTCTGATGCTCCTCCCAAGGCCTCTGGAAACAGCTCCTGCTCCAGGTGGGCTGGAGGGATGCACAGCTGTCCACAGCCTTCCCAAAAATCCAGTGGATTTTTCAAGCAAGCAAAAAAAAAAAAAAAAAGAATCCAACAAAAATCATGCGGATGCCCAGTTCCACGACCAAGAGGATGGACACATACTCCCAACTCCATACACAGAAGCCTGGGCACCCGAGCCCACTTGTGTACTGCAGGGAATTCAGGCATACATCCAGCTTGGAAAGGCTGGGTTCAGAAGTCAGGAAATTAAAAGGTAAGGCATCTTCCTCAACAAGATACTGTGCTAGGTACTCCTTAAATATGCATTTTTATTAATAATCTGTTCAATCTAAACTATAAAACGTGTTGTGCAACATGACTGAACGAATATTGCTGTGAGAAATATTTTCCCCTTGTTTGAGTAATTTAAATTTGTAAGCTAATGTAAGTTTTTGTATTAAATAATGTACTGTGTGCAATTTTCTTTCTTGTAAAGCACTTTGAAGCTTTCAAAGGGCACTCTAGGTTAATAAATAATATGGTATCCTTTGCCAGAACTGTAGGGCATTTCCCATAAGTTCTGAATCTTCTCTGCCAGAATTGCAACACGTTGCATGCCAAATCCTGCACACAAATGTTCTACATGTGGCAAATGCATATTGGTGAAGACCAGAGGCATGGCATTCCTGGATTTCTTAGGGGGAGCGGGGGAAGGGAAAGAAGTGGGAGGGAATAATGAAGGAGGGCAGGGAAGAAATTTATGTGTGTGCATACATCTTAAAAAAAAAAACACCACACACAAACCAACACCACCCACACCAACCCATAGCCCATCCTTCATTATTTTCAAAGACTAAACAGCTTGCTGCATGCAGAGCAAACTCCCAAGTACCCAGAGCTGAGTTTTTCCTTCATTTATGGCAACAGGCTTCCATTTTTGTGATAGCTTTAGATTCTTCAAACCCAGATCCCCCTAAAGGTCAAAACACCAGCAATCCTGGCATCTCATGTGATAAAATAAGCAGAGAGATTGTGAGGCTGGAGAACCATGGTCAGGGACTACTGCTATTTAACAGGCTGCGAAAGCGAATCCTCCTCTTCAGGCAGAGTTGTGAATGCATTTCATATGCCCTAGGCTACTGGGAATGAACCAAGACCAGTATTTATGAAAAGTCAACACTTGGCCTTTTTGCAGTCTACCCCATGGAAAAGTCGGCTTCTACGTCTCTACCCTGGGAAAAGAGGAGTGAAAAGCAGTAAGACCCAGAAATGAAGTCAGCGCATTTGACTGCGTATCACAAAGGTTACATTAATGAAGGATACTAGGAGGTTTAAATGACTTTGGTTATAATTTTCTTGATTTAATTGCTTCCTGCATTAAGCACAAACAAATAATTGCCAACATTCCTCACTGGTTGGGACTGAACGCAAACAGTAATTCAAAAATGTTCAGGTTTCCTGCCCTTTGCTAAATTTTAAGAAAATGATAACAAAAATTCGTAATCACCCAGCAACAAACAGCTCATTTAAAAGCTACTAAAAGCTACTTAGAGCTTTCCAGGCCTTAAGCACCAAGATTTGCTAGGCATTTAAAAAACAAACTGAAATTAAAACTGAACACCGCATTCTGCAACACTAAATGAACGTTTTACAACATTGTTTTTTTTGAGGTGGCAAGAAACGACTGTAAAACCTTTGCTGTTGCCAGAATTAAATTGCTTGGAGAAAAATATCCTGTGGGTTACCATTTGTTGCCATGATTTACAGAGATAAGGCCTGTAGTCCGTATCAAATTCATGCTGAAGCTTTAAAGGAAAAAAGCTTTCTGCAGAGCTTGTAGATTTCTGCATAATTGTCTGCGTTGTTGCAAACAGAGCTAAGTGGTGCTCCCTCACAAGCTTTTCAAGAAAGTTTGCACATTTCTTCAGATTCATCTCCTGCAAGTTAAGACTCTCCCCTCCGTTGCTTCTGTCTATCCAATAAAAAGCTGATATGCTATCTACAATCAAAAGGCAGAGAGAGGGGTGAGTGCAGAACATGTTTTCTAGAGAGTAAAGAGTGAGAAGTAACTGGGTGCTGCTATTGCAGTTCACAAGAAAAAGCCTTCCCAGGCACTGCTTTATCATTTCTTCTGTGCTTTGCACCAGTCTGTGCTCAAGAATGGTCACTAGACGAAGCATATCGAAATGGTAGTCTGTGTCAATGAACATGACTTCTACTTCCAGTCCTCCTCCTGACTTTGGAATGATGCAGCGGGCTACCAGGTGGTAGAGCATTTCAGTTTTTCCTGTTCCTTCTGGACCGTGGAATTCAATGACATCTCCTGTTCAAAAACAAAGAAGCAAGCTGTCACGTGAGGCCGTTTATAGCTCAGAGTCAAATTTCAGTGCTTACGGAACCAATATTCACTATTTCACTCATTGGAAAATGTGTTTCTGAAAGCTCTGAGAGCCATCAAAATTGTTTAAATCCTGGTTGGCATCTACCAAGAGAAATTCTGATTTTCAAGGAAGGCCTCTGAAGCGAGGGAAGTCAACTGGCAGCAACAGTTGAAAAAAAGCCTGCCAATAGTATCTAGGACAATGATACCACTAAGGGGTTGGCAACTGGATTTCATTTATCAATACAGGTAGATGAAGGTTGAAAAGGAAACTGCGACACAAAAGAGAGTAAGAAACCATCTATTTACATTATGTACATAAAACTAAGAAAAAAAAGTAAAGGACAAGAAAAAAAAAGTTGATGTTAGAGGTCTAAATCACATTGGCATATCTATTTTTACAGCACAGGTTGTCCTTCAACACGTTATGTCTGCTGTGTGCTTGTTTGGTAGCTGCACACATCACAACATAACAACAGGAATCTGAGCCCACATATTTTTTTATGTGACCACAATAAGAAGCTGCTTCTTTTGTCAGAAAGGGGCTTGCAGGTTGCTTGAACTCCAGGCAATGAGTGCTGTCTGAAGCAGAGGTATCTGTTCATACATACACTCAGCCTAACTGCCTGATCTGTGTGTCAGTAACATAAAAATCACGTGAATTTAACAAGTTAATTAAAAAAGCATTACCCATGACTAGGAAATCAGTTCAAATGGGAATGCAAGGGACTCCAAAGCCTTTTCCAAAAGCCTCTTATGTCTTAAAATCAGAGCAAGACTCTAAAAAAAAATGGTTAATTGATGAGGTGTCCTTTCCAAAATTCTAATTTAGAACTGGATTATTTATCATATTCTGGATTTTAGGCAGCAGGGTAAATACAAGCAGTAAGGAGAACACACAACTATAGCCATAGGAAGGTCATGGCTTTTTATGGCCTTGGCAAGTGCCAATGGGCTAACAGCTTTCCATAGCAGGATGCAAGAGTAGAGAATTAATTGCAACCTTACCTGAACGTGTTTGTGCCTGCCTGAGTTAGCAGGGTAAACTCAGCTCACAGAGGATGCCCTCGTTTGCACATGCAAATGTCAACACGCAGCTTGGGACAAGGGGCAGAGTGTGGCAGGGAAAGACTAAGCTCCTCACCTATTGCAAGTGTTGTAAGGAATTAACCCCTGATGTGACAATTCGCTCACTTCAGTGGCACTCAGCCTGCCCGCCTCTCCATATTCAAGTTCCCTGCTCCTCCAAAACTGCAAGGCCAGTTTCCTGAAATTCTGATACTTTGACGCTTATTTAAGAAGCTTGATTGCCTCCCAAACCTTCATTTATCTGTTCTGAATGGCTCTCCTCGCTTTTGAGATGAAGGGTGACTACACGTCCTATGACACAGATCTTCACTTTCTCTTCCCGTTGAGAAGTCGCAATTTGCAGCTCCACCACTTGCAGCCAGCTGATGCTCTGCTTTGTTACATCCATTGCACTGGTGACATAACAAACCTGTGACAACAGGACACCAGCTTGGGAGAAATCCTTCCAAATATGCTGGGTAGGCCCTCCGACTTCAAGTCCACTGAAATATTTTAGAACAAAGGCATTTGTTCTGAGGCATTTCTCATTAAAGAACAAACTGTATGTTCTTCCTGCCCCAGGTTTTGGTACAAGACTTCTGCCACCCTGAGTGGCATTGCTGAATCCAGATCAATGACTGGACTGGGCCACTACCCAACATGGACTGCTAGACCTACCTTCACTGCAAAATACGTTGTCTAAAGAAAACACAGGAACTCTGTGCCCTTTCAGAAGCAGCAGCGGGCAGATCTGACTTACTAGCTGGTATTATGCAAAAAAAATGATTCTGTGAAGTGCTTGACTCTATCCATTTGAAGATGTTTTATCAGGAGCTCTGTCTAACCTCCTATAGCCCATCACGTAAGAGACCTGCAATGCACAGAACATTGGAGGGGCCTTTATTGGCAGAACTAACTCATTTATTTAAGTAAAAAATATAAGCTCAGTGAAAAATCATTCTTAAGAGTTTCTGTGGTGGCTTATAAATGTTAACAGCACGACAGCTGAGCACCTGTCAAAGTTTGTTCCCTACTGCCCCAAAAGATGCACACCCGGGTTGCAGTTTGACCAAAACACAGACATTGTGCTGACACTCCAAAAAGACTAAGTTTGGACTGTAAGAAAACCTCAAGGGAGCAGGGGATTTCTGTGCCTTCACGATTATTGAAGAGACTGCCCACAGAAAGAACTGGGGCAAAACAGGAGCCATTTATAGCAACAACTGTAAACGCAGGGTTTCATTAAATTAGCAACCAGGCTGTAACGGTAAGATAACGAGGGGAAATTCATCCTTCTGGATTAGAGCGGACAAACAGTGACACAGCAGAGGAGGAAGTGTGGCCAGCAGTGTTTTCAAAAAGCCACTGACACTATCTCTCATGTTAGGTCATGGAAGAAACTAAGTGATCAGTACCAGCATCATCCATTAATGTCAAAACAGTTTGAGAGGAGGATTAGTAAAGAGATACTGTCAAGGGATGGAAACAGTCTGGGAGGCCAAGTAGGGACAGACATTTTTACACGGAAGAAAGTTAATGGGATTTTTTTTTTTTATTGGAATTGGTGTTGCCCAACATTACCAGTTCATCTACCAGTAGATTAATGTCCCATTAGCTTGGCAAAAGGCGGAGAAGACAAACTAATTGGGTTAATAACTTAAGGCTGTGAAGGTTTTAACGTATCAAGATAGATTATCAGAGTGATTTCATAGGAAATTCAGCACTGCCAAATTCAAAAAGTATGTTTTAAGGAGTAACCCAACACATCGCTTGGCTCGTAGCAGCTTGAACTGGAGACAAACTGGAGCTGGCCCACTACAGGCAGACTACAGAGCACAATGGTCCACTGCTATGCAACGTTGCATAAACTTCAATTTTCATATAACACTAATATATTTTTAACTAAAACATTGTGCTCAGTTCTGGTCATCTTTTCCATGTTATTGTTTCAACTACATTAGTCTTAAAAATTTCCTGTAATCATTACATTAGTGAATGTTGGTAAAACTGTTTTCTGACACTGGAGTTAGAAGCAGACAATTAGAATACTCAGCAATAGCTTTACAGGTTTCATACCATCAAATACCTTGAAGTTACTGGGCTACTGATTTATAATATTATACAGAAACGGTCATTGATATTTGTACCATCTTTAAGTGGGGTAGAAAGGCTTAATATTTATTCCAAATTCATTTTGGATGTCACACTGCTGCTGAACATTGGAGTTTTACATGGACACCCACACCTTTACATCAGGGCCACAGGAGAAATACGCCTGGCAATAGCGGAAGCTTACTTAATGCTCATGTCACTTTTCCTCCATTCCAGAAGAGCTCAAATGGTATGTAATTAATACACTTATGTCTTCTTAAATACACAGTTCCATCACAATCAGAATCACGGCACTACCTATGTTAACAGTTCCTATTCTGTAGTATTCTGACATACATGTTACGAACACTTAATGATGATGTAACCTTTATATGGTTTATTGGAACTTTATATATACGTAGCTTTGTTACAAATACCATCGGGAAAAAGAAAATATGTAGGTCACCACGTAGCTTTAATCATACCACTTCTTTGTGGGCAATGTGTTCCAGTAGTCCCTAATGACCTACTAAATGCCAAGTTCATGACAAATGGAGAGGTAGATCTTCAACAGGGATTTAAGACTGAATAACGAGAACACACATCAAAATAACACATGGACTCACATAAATATATATACTGTGATATTAAAAGACAAAGCAAAAATGAAATAAAAGGTGAAGGCCATTTATATATATATAAAGATCTCTGCTAACTTTATGCAACTCCATTAGTGTCAGCCAAGAAGCATGACCAATACAGATAATAATTGATGCCATTTGTTAAAAGCAGAAGAAAAACAGAAGTGCTTCCCAAGCTCAATGTATGTGTTGGCACGGGGAGAAACCAGTGATGAAACTAGAAAGTTTCCAGCCATCTCAGAGCTGAGGTTCTGGAAGAGTTGTTAGACGTGAACAACCTACATAGCTTTAAAATAAAAGTTGATAATTTTGGGAATGGAGTTATTTAACGCTGTTGACTGCAACACCAAGGGCAATTGCTGAATCCCAGGAAGGCTGCTTGGAGGCTGTTCAACCAGAGCAGGCCCAGTTGAGTCTCAAACATTTGTTACTTGTATGTAAAGTACTTAAAAATAGACTGAAATATCAGCATTTCCTATAGCTGCATTTCTTTCAAAATAAAAATATTTCTTCTTAAACAAAACAACAACAACACAGACACGTTACAACTCCAGGAGCCTTTTGAAGCCTACACCAGTTTTCACTACTGGTTCTTAATTCTTATTGTGGCAATTCAGAACTGAGAGTGTTTAAATAATCTTCCATACTCCGCTCCATTCGCAGTGACTTACCAGTATTTCTCTGCCCTTTGTCTTTGTTATATCACATTTGAAACTTCTAGGGGCAGGCATCATATATTGCTAAACCCTTAATGTACTCCCAAGTGCTGCAAAATAGTACGTGAATGGTCTCCCAGAGACTGCATTTGTGGACTACGCATCATCTCTCATCCAATTATCTTGATTCTTTTTATTGCTTTTTCTGCCATTTCTTCTGAACCTTCTATGATTTGTGGGAATTCAAATTGCAGACAAGTATGCTGATAACCACTGCAGCCACATACTTTTCATATGAAGCCCATTCATTCATTCATACATGTATATATATATATATATATATATTCAACAACTGTGGTATCTCATAGCATGAGCCTTTCAGTTTGCCATCCATGTGCCTTTTTTTATTATGTATTTCTAGTTTTGTATAATCAGAGTAGTCTTTTCCATTGTAGAATCCATGAAATTTCACATAATCTGCAAAAACAGGCAGAATTCCTGGATAATCAAGAAATTACTAATTACGTTTATTTCTATTTAGCTCAGTATTTCTTTCATTACAACATCCAATCTTGATTTTAAATCTTCTTGCTACAAGACTCTACCTTAAACTTGTACAGGTGTCAAAAAGACCACTGATTAAAATTAAAAAAAAAAAGGTAAGTGACAATGTAGAACAAATATCTGCAAAACTCTATGGTAACCAACATGCTTGGTATTTACTCACCTACACCTGTGCTTTAAAACCCCTAAAACATTTTAAAGCAGAATAATGCTCAGGAGGATGACTTTGCATTATTTCACTTTATCTGGTTTGCCTAAAATCACATTAAGAGTTACAATTCTGAATCCAAGGTAAAAAGATCTATTTGAATGCTTCTCTCTGAGAAAACTTTCACAATGACATTTTTGCATAAATAGGATAAAGATACGTTTTTACCATGAACGGGAGATCCTTCTTCAGCAAACAGACAAGGTTCAAGATTTTTCAGAGAACTTCTGCCCTCAAGGCGTGCGAGTAGCTTTTAAAAAAGGATAGAAGAGACATGCTGTCAGCTCAAAATAATGGGTCTTGGGAATCACATTGAAAGGACTCCAAGAACCGGGAGTTTTCAATGACAGTCCTATCAAAAGATTGGTTTGATTTGAAAACATTTTTATAAACACATAGGCACAACCACAGTCTTTGGGTACAGCAGCAGCAGTTTCCATCCTTACAAATAATTAACACACAAATTCGGTGGTGATAAGGAGTGGATATACACAGAAGGAATATAGCTTAAAGAAAATAATAAATAATAATAATAAAACAGAAAAAGCTGCACAGGTACACCAGCAAGAGGGAATTGTACAGAGCAGTGTTGCCATTTGACACAACAAAGGGATAGCAGAGCATCTGTAATAACCCACACCTCCACAAGGCCATGAGGTTGAGAGGCAGAGCATTACCCATCATGAGTCTCCTGAGTCACCCTCTCTGCATATTTATCAGTAAAATCGTGTACATTGCATTTGAAAAGTATGCAGGACTCTCATGGACCACCTCACTCGTACTATTTGCAGTTTTGGCACACAATTAGCACTTCACCCTGTGCAAGAGCTGTTATTCCACATGTACATTAACACACACGGGAAAGGACACGATCAGGACGCTCACAGCATCTATCCTGGTGCTGAAAATTTTATTCTCCAAGACAACCAGCTGCCATTTAAAGAATTAAGCAAAACGAAAAAATCCCGTTTGCTTTTACTGCCTCTTCCTTAAAGGCAGTCATGAAAGGAGCAGTGGGCACAAACCTCTAAACACACGCTGCCTTATCTTACTTTCCTCCCTGCCATATCGATGAGGAGCATTTACTCTGAATTGTCTCAAAAGTTGTTTAAACAGTTGTGCATGTGTTTGCCTTTAATGGCAGAATAAAGCCCCATTAAATGGCCCTGAATTTACTTGAAGTGGTCATGATGGGAATTTAAGTGTGACATTTTCATTGACATTTTAACATTCCCTTCCATTAACAAAATGTCAATGTGTTTGCCTTTGTTTGCCTGTTCACACTTTTTCAGGAGAGTTTTCTGACATGTTCACTGAAGGGCCATAAAACACTCAAACTGACCTCGCTTGGGATCTGCAGACCCTCCTGCTACGTTTCACACGTTTGTGCAGCACACAAAACAAACCTGGAGAACTCTGGAGTGTTTTGGGAACCAGCAGGTTCCCATGACCTGACCGAAGTAAAAATCGGGATGGATTTACATCCACGAGAACACACCAATGTCTCTCAGGGCACATAAAGTAAGCGCTTGCCACTACCAACCGCACTGCTGCAGACCCTACGCACACAGCCCGGGGATGTGGGGAGGAGAAACTTCCCCTCTTGGAGAAAGGCCGGGAATTTTGCCCCCCTCATCTGGTGCTGGAAGTTGAGAGAAACAGGAAAACCACCACAGGCTGCTGCTTTCTGATGCCCTTCAATTCCCAGCAAAAGGAAGCACCACTGGGCTGGGACACGAGGCCCCACAGGATGGTCAAAACATGGTGCTGCTGCCTCCTGCTCCTGAATTCATTCCTACATTAACAAATACATTCCCCACAGTTGTTTTTTTTTCCCTTTCTTTTCTGGAAACTAAGAGCACTTTCCTCTTAGACTATTACCTCTTTAAGATTACCGCTCCAGCTTTGGAAACACACAATAGATCGATCTCTATCGTTTAAATATGAATCTGTGGTTGTTTAAATGATGAGTTTTTACGTTCGTTTTAAATAACTACAGGTGCTTACTCTGAGCAGTGCTCATGTAGGTAATTTATGGTAATTTGCTGATGATAGTGCACCTGTGTTTTTATCAAACTTCTATTTACTTCCGAGTTCTGAAGCAGAGTCTCCAAAGGCACTTGCCTCATTAGTGTCATGCTGTGAGCAATGGGGTTTCTGGCAGAAACAGCGAACAATTTTCCTTCAGATCTCACAAAGGTTTGTCCACACCACAACAGAAGTGATGGCAGCGAAGCTGCACCGAGATGAGGCACCAGACAGGAATCCCTCACCTCTGCAAACAGTGAAGACAGTGACAATATGGGTTCTCCCAAACCAGAAGCTGCCTTGGCTCAGCTCCAGGGAGGGCATTTCCATGTTGCCTTCTTACACTGTCTACTATGGGGGAGGAGGGAAAAAATCTATGGTAATTAAAGAGTAATCTGGATGGTGGGAGTCGGGTGTCTCATGCTGTGTTGTGGACATGGTACTTCTGGATAAAACAGTGCAATGGAAAAAGCCAGGAAAAAATAAGCCTACAATTTCAAATAATGTATTAGAGACGTCTGATTCTATAATTCAACTGTAGATGCTCGTTTCTTCCTTTACAATGTTTTCATCTTCTTTTGTAGAAAACATAACCTTTTAGCAACATGCTAGTGGTAGGTCTTCAGTCATACACGTCCTTGAGAAATGCAATTACACAAACAAGAAGCTGCGCACAGATACACGTGGTAGGAAACAAGCTATCCAGCATGAGCTGGGCAACAGCTGGGTTAAATTTCATTAATGACAGCAAGGCTGACGAGACTGAAGTATTTCAGCAATGTCTTTTATGGCTTATCAATTCAATCTTTTTAATAAAGAAATATGCATATGGGCTGTCCCATTGACTAATATATTGTAATGCTTATACTATATTGGATTCAATGAAGTTATGCATAAATGTAAGCATACACGTAGGTCTTGTCAGAGATATTACTTAATTAAAATGTTAAAGAAATTCAAATTAAATACTCTAGCTCTGCTAGAGGCCATGAGCTAACCTACAGGCTATTTATAAACACAAACACATCTCAAGTATGAGACAAAATTTAATTTTCAACCACCACAACCACTCTAACTGAGCTTCTGTAAACTTTGGGCATGAAGATGTATGCTAGCAATTTATCATTTTATTGTGAGATACCAAAGGTGTCTTGCGAGAAGTTCTAATTTGTTGCATTAATTACATCGAAGAATAAAATTATCAGACTGCGGTCTCAGCCTAACCCTCAGTAAAGTCAGATATTCTGCATGAGGCTATTTGAGGAAGTTTGCTTTAAATGAAGTTCTGTTTCAAGGGCTTTAAGCATTTTTCTTGACCACTTTCCTTACTCTTTCTCAGTGCCTTGGCTGTCAGTTCTCCCCAGTTCAGGTCTGCTCATCTGTTCCACCACTGGTCGTTCTGCCACATGAATCCCCAGCTGGTACTACTCGCGTGGGCAAATGCATTTACCCACTTGGACACAAGTGGAAAACATGTCCTTAATTCGTGTATATTTTCTGTGTATAGTTGCTGATACTGGGCAGCTGTGTTTTGTGTGCCAAAAGAGCTTAAGAACTTGTGCCTTAAAAAAAATGAGAGAGCTTTAACAAGAAATAAATACTTACTGTCATACGTGTTTCTATGCTTTTGTACTCAGTATATCACGATACCACAACACACATTACCTAATTAACTTACTGATTGGAAGTGTAACAAGTAACATTTAAGGGAAGGGAAAACCAACAAACCCCCAAACTCAACCCCTTTTTCTCTGAAGAACACGAAAGCAACTCCTCTTCACACGCTGTATTTAAACCAAATCTTCCTCATTTCTTTCCACAGCTCCTCCTCCTCGCTACATCCACCGCCACCGTGACAGGAGCTTTCTCCCGGTGGAGCCAACCCTCGGCACCTCCCGTATCACCCCCTCTCCGGCTCCCTCGCCCTGAGGCGCTTCACAGGGCGGCGGGGCGCGGCTCTGCGGCTTCCCCTCCCCTCACACACCGCCAAGCACGGGGGCAGGGCGGCCAGCGGGGTGTACCCTGCCCTTCCCCGCACCCCTCTGGGGACAGACAGCTCGTTTACACAGCACCCAGGCACAACGAGGGGCCGGACGGCGAGCGAAGCTCCGAACGCGTCCACACCGCCCGCCCGCCCTGAGGGAAATGGCGGCGGGCGGCGGCCTGAGGCGGGGGGCACTAAGGGGGGGGGGAGGGAGGAGGGGGGGGCTCACCTGAGTGCCCGACTCCGCCCTCCGCAGCGCGTCACCCATGGCGCGGCTGGGGGAGGGGGCGCCGCTCCCCGCTCCGGCCCCAGCGGCGGCGGCGGTGGCGGCCACTGCGCAGGCGCCTTGGCACCGCCCGCCCGGCCCCGCCCGGCGCACGCGTGGCTCAGCGCCCAGGGTAGGCTGTGAGGCTGCTGTTCGGGGGGTCGTGGGTTCGAGTGCCGCCTCGGCGCTTTGTGGGCGCCGTAGGCATTCCACAGGGACCGATCCATATGCAGGGTCCTATAATATAATAAATAAATAATGTGTTTATTTATTTTAAGAGCGTTTCTTTTCATATATTCTTGGTGTGCATTTTGCTTTTATTTTTTTGCTCCTGGTCATTATTGGTGGCCCTGAACCACCACCTTGCCCCTGTGGGGAGCACCATGAGGCGTGGTGCAGGTCCTGTGGGGCGCGAGGCTGCGTTGTGCCCTGAGGGTGCTGAGGGCATCACCCCCGTCAGCCTCAGTGGCCAGGGAAGTCCTGCTTCCTTGGTTCTGCAGGCGAAACGTGAGCAATGTTTCCCCTCCGCGGAAATGGCCGTCTTGGGGCTGAAGTGACTCAAAGGAAACCCGTCCGCGTGGCCACCATTAAACCCCGACGCCTGCGAAATGACTCCCGCAGAAGCCAGCTCGCAATTAATGGCTTAGATGAAAAGAGCTCTGGAATATTTTGCATACATGCGTACACCTGAGCGTGCGATGCTCCTGGGCAGGATCTGGCCACCCGGCGTGTCTCGGCAGTGGGATCTGCTGAGGACTGCGGCCTGTCCGCCACCACTGTGCAAGGCAGCCCCGAGAGGAATGACGAGCTGGGGAAAACGTGGAGAACCTGTTTGTGTTTTCCATAGGCTAAATGCTTAAACCAGTGGGATAAGAATAGCAATCCCACTCCCTATCTGCATATCAAAGAGCAGCGGTGATATCATCCCGTTTGGGTTTAGTGAGGTTATCAGCGATACTGCACGTTCTTACAGCTAGGAGGAGAAACTGGTGGTGGTGGAGATCTTTGTTTCTTCAAAGAAATAAGTTTGTCTATATAAAAGGAGGCTCAGCTAGCTTGGGCCTGAGTACACCACAAATCTGAAAAAAAATACCCTCAAATAAAAGGCATAAGCCTTGTTTACTCTTTCAACCTTTTTTTAGCCCCAAATATTCTCTCTATAATTCAAAACATCTTGATGTTGCCACCCAAATCAAGGTTTTAGATAATTCCACAAGGAGGGTCAGATTTGACCTAATTCCAAACAGTACTTCTAATGTCAAGTCCTAATATCTCATTAAATCACTGAAAAGAGATGGTCTCTTTTGGACAGCTGTCATAGGTTTTCTTATTCTCTGTGCATGGATACATATGCAAAATTATCAAAGCCAAGGAAGGTGATTAGTGAGCTTGGATGGCTACAAAGGGACATGTGGCACAAAACAAAACTGCAGTACTCAGTTTAATTTTACTGAAGGAAGCCTCTGCCTCACGTTTTGGCAAAAGCCACCATAAGGGACAGACAATCTTGAGAGTTGTGTTGCTGTTGTTACAGTACCTTAGAGGTCTGAACCATATTCCCTGGAAGAGTTCAAAAGGCCTGTTAATTAGAAGCGATTGCCCTTGAAGCTGACTGATGATTGAACCTAACCCAACAGTAGAGTGGACTCATTGTGAATTATGACAAAGACACTACTCATTGCATCAACCACATTTTTTTTTTTTTTTAATTATAGCTTCTTTGTTGTTGTTCTCCTCTAATTAAAGCAGTTGCACTAATTTTAAAAAGTGATCACTGTTTGAATTTGGAAACATAAAATATATAGTACACATAAATGCCAGTTGCCTGAAACCCCCTCCTACCTCGTCACTTATCACTGTCTGTATCCCAGTAGGGTCCTATGGGAACTCTTCTCCTGCATGGGCGAACACAGTTTTGGTATTACAATCTAATGCAAGATGAAGTGTCACAGTTGAATGGAGATCAAGTGACAAAGATTCCAGAGAGGGTAAAAGCATCGAATTCACCAGAACAGTAAAAAATGGATATTTTAATGGCTTGATATATTTAGTACATAACACTTAGAAATGTGTAAATCAAACACAGCGGTCATCTTGATAGACAGATTGCTGTAACCACCTCTCATATGTTACCTTTGCATTCATTTGCTTAATACAGTGTGGCTGGCATTATGAAGTTAGAAAATTGATGCTTACTTTGACAGCACTCTGCCTTAATAAAGAATCACATTTGTGCTTTTTACGTTTATTTGTCAGTTCAAGTACTTCTTTTCTCAGAAGATAAAAAACCTAGGTTTTGGCAATGATACACAGCCTTTCACCCCAAGCCTTACATAGATCTTTGTATACCTAAACTTCTGCTCCGTGCACTTCAGCAGTCAACACCACTGGCATCTTGCCAAATTCAATATTATTATATTTTATTCAAAACTGTATGTGTATTTCTCATTCCTTTGCCTTTTTTTTTTTTTTTTTTTTTTTTTTTTGCCTATGTGTAGAGTAAATCACTGCATTTACCTTGATCCTTTAGAGGAAAACATAGGTAACATAGGTTAGCAAGAAATCTCTTTACCATCAGCTTCAGCAGAGCCAGGATTTTTCCCTCTCTCCTTTTTTTTTTTTTTTTTTTTTTGGTTCTGTGTATATTTTTTCATATTTGTCTGCAGCATTCTCGAGTGATAGTGAGCACCAGGAGTACAAGATCCTACCTGCTGCTTACTCCGTTTCTCTCCTAAATAGTAGAGTCCTCCTTAATGCAGAATCCTCCTTAATGCAGTATAGTTTTAAGTGGATTGTAGTATCCAGGGATTCGATGCCCCAGCACTCCTGTTTCTACAGGCAGAAAATTAGTCTTCCTTTGTTTGGCATGTGGGGAGCCTGAGGGTGCCCCTTGAGCCATAGGCACTGTTTATGTAGTGATTCAGTAGCAAGAGCAATGACTTCTCTAATAGCAGAAAGATCAGACTCTAGGGGTATGCATCTCTCTCTGTATAAAGTGTATATTGTGGAGAAAATTCCTCTTTCCCAGTCTAGATTTTGAACGTCTTCCACGGTGAGAGATTGTGTTTTCCATTGCATGTGTCTAAGACATTCACTGTAGGGAGAGAAAATGATGGTGCTAGAGAGAGATATTTAAAGAAGTGTTGTAGCCCTAAGTAATTTTTTATTTTTTTAGGGGGTGGAGGAGTGGTTATTTGCTCGTTTATATGTTCATCATTACTAATTTCAGCCAACAGAAGGAAACTGGGTTGGGCTCTGGGGAAGGAAGGACTTGCACAGGTGCCTTGGGGCTGTAGAGACCTGAGACTACTGTTTATACAAATATTAACATTTTTTTTTTTAGGACACAAAGTCCTAACCTTAAATTGCCAGTTGGTCTACAACACAGAGCCAGCCTAAAGAATTAACACCCTGTCCTGGAACAGGGCCGTGAGGTAAGAGCTAAACAAAAGAGAAAAGCATGAAGAAAACCAATGTGGTGACAGGAAATTTAGATTGTGTGAGGATGTTTGCAAAAAAAGGTTAAAATACTTCAAGCTACTTTTATATTTAATTAGGTAATAGCTAAATTAGAAACTGGAATTGAAATGTTTCCTCCTGTAAGCAATTTTTTTTTCAACCACTGAGATTTTGTTCCAACATGAGCTTCTTCATTTTCAGTGTATTGTCACTTAATGTTCTCTTGCAAGATTTGTGTGGGTGACATTCCAGCACAAACCAGCTCCAAACAGATCTTCTAGGTTGAAAACAGTTTGTCTCTGTTCATACAGTTGAATTAAACTCTTTCAGTAAAGTCAGCTGTTGTTTTTCTAATTAACCTCCAGACTCTTAAATACCTTTGCTCCAAACGTGACAAATTGGCTATCTGAAAATTCATTAAGCAGAAAAATCACTCCAAAAGACAAAATAGGTCTCATTTGCACCGTCTGTCTTATCTACTCCTTTGTCTAGCAATGCTCAAAACCCCAAAGGTTTATGAACTAAAGGCGTTCTCAAAGTTTTAAGTCTCAGCCAGGATTAATAATAACACTTTTGAAAGTTGTGACTTAAGGTTTACGAACTAAAGACGTTCTCAAAGTTGTAACTCTCAGCCAGGATTAATAATAATAATAGCAATTTTGAAAGCTGTGACTTAAGGTACACGTTGAGTCTGCAGGTGGCAAAGCAAATGATGAACTGCCTTTCAGATTATGTGCAACCTGTCTGTTGTGCGACTCCTCCAGTTTCACGCGGCTGATTTCTGCCCCACTGTTCCAAGTTTCTCTCAATAACTGAAGTGATCTGTCACTGGGCTTTATTAGATTTTCTTAGAGCAGATGGCTGATTCTTTTTACCTGGAGAGCTGCCACTTTCTTTAGATGCATCTCCGTTTTATGGTAGTATAATTCATCTGTTTACTTGACAAATAAACAGGTTAAATTACAAGGGTGTTATAATTTCTGTGACCTCAGAGAAGGTGATAGATTTGCTGTACAACCTGGAAAAAAAAAGGGAAAAAAAAGAATTTAGTCCATTGGTGGATCGACTGCTTGCCATGAAAAACCAGCCCAAGTCATTACTAAATTCTGGCATCCATGTTAAAGTTTCAGAGCTGCTTGCTGGATATTTCGCTTTACATTTCAGCTTGCAGAGCTACATGGTGAATACACTTGGTCTGTGTAGCCATTCACATACACTTATGAGTAGACTTCTTATTTCTGGAGATTGCCTTTTATCGGCTTGTATTCCCGAGTTTGAATTCCTCTTTGTTTATTTGCACCAGGTTGTTCTTTTCCTGCTGCTGCTTCCGTCCTGTTTGAATAATTCTGTGCTGGTTCATTGTGAAACTGCCAGATACGCCTTACGCAGCAGTTAACCACATAGATAGGGACTGGTTTTGTACCACTGACCTGCTGAGGGATATTTTCTTGATATTTTATTTATTTATTATTATAATTATTTACAAAAACTGTCTTTAATTGGAGCCCATTCTGGGACCCATTTTAAGGTTAGCAATAAATAAATATAAAATGTACAGAGACTAGCATGCAATTTATAGAGACAACTTCATATTCAGAGGTGACTACAGACAAAGTTTCGTTCTGAGTACTCCAGC